ATCTTGTGACCATAACGTGAAATTGAACTTATTCTGTAGTTGGCTCGAGGAAGCGTTGTAGAACACCTTAGATCCTTCAGGTTACCAGATTCTGCGACCATATCATGAAAGTATACTTACACTGTAGTTGGCCTTAGGAAGAATTGAAGAACACCTTAAATCCCTCACAGTGCTAGATCCTGTGACCATAGCATGAAACTGGACTTACTCTGTAGTTGGCTCTAAGAAGCGTTGTAGAACACCTTAGATCCTTCAGGTTACCAGATTCAGCGACCATAACATGAAACTGGACTTACTCTGTAGTTGGCTCCAGGAAGCGTTGTAGAACACCTTCGATCCTTCAGGTTACCAGATTCTGCGGCCGTAACATGAAACTAGACTTACACTGTAGTTGGCCTTAGGAAGCATCGTAGAATACCTTAGTTCCCTCATGGGGACTCAACAGCACTTTAGCTGTGGAGTCTGGCCTCAGCAAAGCTCCCACCCAGCTTTCTAGGGACATCGGGCTCACGGGGACTCAGCGGGACTTGGGCTGTGGAGTCTGGCCTCAGCACAGTTCCCACCCAGCTTTCTAGGGACATCGGGCTCACGGGGACTCAGCGGGACTTAGGCTGGGAAGTCTGGCCTCAACACAGCGTGCTAGGGACGACATCAGGCTCACGAGGACTCAATGAGACTTGGGCTGTGGAGTCTGGCCTCAACACAGCGTGCTAGGGACGACATCAGGCTCACGGGGACTCAGCCAGACTTTAGCTGTGGAGTTTGGCCTCAGCACAGCTCCCACCCAGCTTTCTAGGGACATCGGCCTCACGGGGACTCAACGGGACTTGGGCTGTGGAGTCTGGCCTCAACACAGCGTGCTAGGGATGACATCAGGCTCATGGGAACTCAACGGGACTTTAGCTGTGGAGTCTGGCCTCAGCACAGCTCCCACCCAGCTTTCTAGGGACATCGGGCTCACGGGGACTCAGCAGGTAGCGATGGCTCAAGCACTCAGGGGCATCACAGGTAGCTATACTCCAGGCACGCCATGGGGCGGTTCAAGTAAGGGTAGTCTGCGCGTGCAATAGGGGCAGTTCATGACACGGGTGGTCTGTACGTACAATAGGGACAGTTTGTGACATGGGTGGTCTGTGCGCACAATGGGGGACAGTTCAGGACACGGGTGGTCTGTGCGCACAATAGGGACAATTCAGGGCACGGGTGGTCTGTGCGCACAACAGGGACAGTTCATGCCACGGGTGGTCTGTGCGCACAATAGGTACAGTTCAGGACACGGGTGGTCTATGCGCACAATAGGGACAGTTCATGGCTTCTAGGGACACTTACGATAGGCGTCTTGCAGGTGCTCAGCAGCAGGCGGCTTCCAGAGGGGGGTAGGCGACTTGCGGACGCTCAGCAGCAGGCGGCTTCCAGAGGGGGGTAGGCGACTTACGGGCGTTCAGCAGCAGGCGGCTTCCAGGGACAAAGCTGTTAGCAGGCAGGATGGCTTCCCAGGGGCCCAGCAATCAGCAGACAGGGCGGCTTCCCAGGGGCCCAACAATCAGCAGACAGGACGGCTTCCCAGGGACCCTCAGCGAAGGACGGCGCCCCTCACAGTGGCCAGCTTTTCAGGGGACAGCAGCGGTTAGCAGGCAGCGCCCCCCTTCTCCAGGGGCCCAGTGATCAGCAGGCAGGGGCCCTCACAGCGGCCAGCTTCTCCAGGGGCCCAGCGATCAGTAGGCAGGGGCCCTCGCAGTGGCTAGGAACAGCAGCGGGAGTCATGGCTGTGGATTCTGACCTTTGAGGAGGGGGGCTCATGCAGAGCGCTCAGCGGGGATGGCTGCGGAGGCTCCCACCTTGGGCATTCAGCAGAGGGCAGTGGGTACTCCCAACCCTGAGGTATTGCAGAGGGCTACAGTTCTGACCTTTTGGGGATCTGCAGAGTGCGCAGCGGGAATGGCTGCGGAGGCCCGGTCCCCCCTCCCGGGCCTTCCCAGCGACTTCCAGGGAGGTAGGCGACTCCAGCAGCGTGCACAGGAACAAAGAGGGCGGCTTTTTCCCGCGCCGGCCTTTTTAAAGCCGTGCGGGACACTGCCGGGTTGCCCCAGCAACGGCCGGTCCAGCGCCGCGTTGCCGGGGCAAGGAAGCACACCCCCTTGACTCAGGCCGTGCTTCTCGTGAGTGTAGCCTTTGTCACTGGGGGCGCAGAGCGCGGGAAGCCCCGCGCGCCGCTGGGCGTGAGCAGAGATCTCCCAGCGACCCCCGCCAGGATTTCCCGGTGGGGGGGTCACAGCTCTTCCGGCTGAATTGCCGGAGAAGCTGTGACCCTTGCCGCAGCGCTCCCCTCCTGTTATCCCGCACAGCCTGCTTCAAGGCTCTGTGCAGCGAGGGGGGGGGAAGGGCGTGAGCGGCGGCACACGTGACACTCCACATTACCAGATCTTGCAAACATAACATGAACTGGGCTTTATCTGTAGTTGGCTCCAGGAAGCGTTGTGGAACATGTTAGATCCCTCACATTACCTGATCCTGTGACCATAACGTGATACTGGGCTTATTCTGTGGTTAGCTACAGGAAGCGTTGTAGAACACCTTAGATCCCCCAAGGTGCTAGATCCTTTGACCATAAAGTGAAACTGGGCTTATTCTGCAGTTGGCTCCAGGAAGCGTTGTGGAACATGTTAGATCCCTCACATTACCGGATCCTGCAACCATAACGTGATACTGGGCTTATTCTGTAGTTGGCTCCAGGAAGTGTTGTGGAACATGTTAGATCCCTCACATTACTGATCCTTGACCCGTGATACTGGGCTTATCTGTGGTTGGCTGCGTTGTAGAAACCATAACATCCTTTGATAAACTGGGCTTATTCTGTAGTTGGCTCCAGGAAGTGTTATGGAACATGTTAGATCCCTCACATTACCTGATCCTGCAACCATAACGTGATACTGGGCTTATTCTGTAGTTGGCTCCAGGAAGCGTTGTAGAACGCCTTAGATCCCCCAAGGTGCTAGATCCTTTGACCATAAAGTGAAACTGGACTTATTCTGCAGTTGGCTCCAGGAAGCGTTGTGGAATATAAAAAGTGGTAATTGAGCGCTGAGAACAATAATATAAAGCTCCTAGCATAAAAGGCAACCTCTAAAACCCAGTACAAGAGAAATATAATATAAGTATGCAGCGCTAATGTAAAAATATAGAATCAGATAGATGAAAAAATATATAGAATCAGATAGATCAGAAATTGCACAATATCATATTCCAGCAACTTGGTCCATATATAGTGGTACAACAAAGTGATTATGTGCAAATGTTCATAAATCCGCAATAGAGGGATAACCGTGACTCTTGTGCTCTTGAAAGTATACAAACATTACACTAACCAGATAGCGCATTAGCTGCGCGTGGAGCAATTAAGACCTGCTCCTGGTGCTCTGGACTTGTAATACCATGAAGATGTCATTAGCATGTAGGCCACTAGGTGTCATCAATCTAGGTGTGCTCTTTAAACTTCCACCATGCCAGTCACCAGGGGGGGAGGGAGAGGTCACACACCAATCCAGGTCATCAGGAACCTTCAAAAGCGGGCTCCCATGGAAATGATGAGCCCAGAGAAAGCTTCCAATAGTGCAGTAGGTCTTTAATTCACAAAATTCCAGCATATACAGATTAAAAATAAACTTACATCCGGATCCGATATGACCACTGGGTGTCAGTCAGGATGGCCTTGCGATATAGGTACAATGGTCAGGGGCACCTCCCTAACGCGTTTCGTGTGCTTACACTTCCTCAGAGGGAGTGTGCCCATGATGCATAATTATTTTATATAAGCATTGTAGAATACCTTAGATCCCTCACGATACCAGATCCTGTGACCATAACATGAAAGTGGACTTACTCTGTAGTTGGCTCTGGGAGTTCGTGTGAGTCACCTTAGGTTCTCCAATTTAAACGCTTTCAAATGCAATAGCACAAGCCATTGCCTGCCCACTCTCACTCTTCTATGCTGATTACTGGTACCACTCATCATAGTCACAGAGAAGAATGGCAATCTAGAGGTCCTTTAAGTCAGAAGATGCCACCTTGAGCAGTGTAGCAAAACCAGAATCCAAAAAAACCCAAAGGTCACCTAAAATTTAAGTCATAAAAAGTGATAATGTGAACTTGGGAATGAATGTGACCTAGACACTGTAGTAAGGGCCTTCTGTTGGTGAAAATGGTAATGCAATTTGGAACTGGTTCAAGACCTACTCCAGCCACGTGTGTCTCCACTCTACATTTTCTGCTTTTAATCACAAATTCCTCTTAATGTCCCTTGAGGCAATTTCAGTTCAAATATATGTAAAGCCAAAATGTTTTTATTTTGGATATTGCATGGAAGTTATTATTGCTGTCCATGTCTCTTCTGATGAGATTCGCTCTCTTCTCTGTCCTGGTGACCATTATCATCAAGTAATGAGAGATCAAAATAAGTTGCCGTCGGAGCAGGAGTTGAGGAATTCTTCCACTTGGGACATCTGGTCCAGTGTAAACTGTCTAAGACAGTGATTTGGAGAGATTTTCTTCCACTTCCTGTCATTTTCATGGGTAGGAGTTGGGAGAGGAATAGATGGTTAAAGCACTGTCTCTCTCTTTGACTTCTCCATCTGGGGCCTATCAAATACACAGCTCTCAAAGGTAAAGCTTGAGGACCTACATACTAAGTCTTGGCTTCCTTTGATCTTTGGTACAAGCCTTTATTTATGGTCTGCTACCATCTCAACGTTTATCATGGTCTCCTCTTCTTTTATCTTCTACAGATGGCCGATACAGTGGTGGTACAGTGAAGGAACATCTCATCATCAAACAGGTGTGTAAAGCAGAGGATGAGTATGTCTCCATGAGCTCAAATCTCCATTCAGAACTGTCATCGGCTCATTCTACACATGGTGGGCGACCCCCCGATGACCCGCGTTCGTCCGAGTCAGGGGAAAGCTTCACCCAACCTGATGAACTTATCCCTGTAGAAATAACGGACGATGGCACCAGGCTTTTCTCCTGCTCTGAATGTGGCAAACGCTTTAAGCAGAAGGCAGATGTTGTCAAGCACCGGCGAATCCACACGGGAGAGCGCCCCTACCCATGCTCAGAGTGCGGCAAGTGCTTCATTGATGCCTCCCAGCTCTCTAAGCACCGGAGGACTCACACAGGGGAGAGACCTTACTCCTGCTCTGAGTGCGGCAAGTGCTTCTCAGAGAAATCCAACGCCGTTAGGCATTGGCGGTCCCACACGGATGAAAAGCCTCACCCGTGCCCAGAGTGTGGCAAGTGCTTCAAGAACAAGTCCCACCTGCTGACGCACCTGCGCTTCCACACAGACGAGAAGCCTTACGCCTGCTCGCTATGCGGGAGGAGCTTCAAGCAGAAGTCAGACGTGGTCAAGCACCAAAGGCTCCACTCAGGGGAGAGGCCGTACTCCTGCTCCGTGTGTGGGAAAAGCTTCTCTGGCAAGTCCAATCTCATCCGGCATGAGATCACGCACACGGGGCAGAAGCCTTACTCTTGCTCCGATTGTGGGAAACAGTTTGCTCAGAAGTCCCATTTGGTCACGCACGAGAAGCTCCATGCTGGTTACAGACCCTTCTCCTGCTCAACGTGTGGAAAAAGCTTTACAGATAAAGCTGTTCTAGTCCGCCATGAGAAGAGTCACTCGGAGGAGAAGCCCTATGCATGCTCTGAGTGTGGGAAGAGCTTTAAGCAGCGGTCAGACGTGGTGAAGCACGAACGCATCCACTCCGGGGTGAAGCCATATTCCTGCACAGACTGCGGCAAAAGCTTCGTCCAGAAGGCCCACCTCCTCAGCCATCAAAAAGTTCACGTACGGGACCATCCGGAGTGACTCGGAAAACATAAATGTAGACTCTGATCACATTTAAGGGCAGCTTTGAAATGAGATGATACAGAAAGCCAAAGGACCATGCCGGGCAAACAGCTACACAACGGATATGGAGGCACGGGACCCGTGTTGCCTCCAGAACATTCGTAGAGTAATGCTCATCATCTTGTGGTCCTGATGTCCTACACAGAGGAAGGGTGGGCGAACGTCTACAGAACACCAAGCTCTGCGGTGTCTCCGTGCCACTGCCCCGCCTCCTGGAGATTGTTTGGAATGTAGCTTGCCATGAGCTCCGGGCAGAGAATACAAGATGGCAGCTATTAAAGTGTTACTAAACCCCGGACCCCGCATTCACTATATCCGCTCTCCCCAGACCCCGAATTCACTTTATCCGCTCTCCCCGGACCCCGCATTCACTATATCCGCTCTCCCCCCGGACCCCGCATTCACTATATCCGCTCTCCCCGGGCCCCCCCCGGACCCCGCATTCACTATATCCGCTCTCCCCGGGCCCCGCATTCACTATATCCGCTCTGCCCGGACCCCGCATTCACTATATCCGCTCTCCCCGGATCCCGCATTCACTATATCCGGTCTCCCCGGACCCCACATTCACTATATCTGGTCTCTCCCCGGTCTCCCCCCGCATTCCCTATATCCGCTCTCCCCGGACCCCGCATTCACTATATCCGCTCTCCCTGGACCCCGCATTCACTATATCCTCTCCCCCCGGACCCCGCATTCACTATATCCACTCTCCCCGGACCCCGCATTCACTATATCCGCTCTCCCTGGACCCAGTGCTGATCACATGCACTCTCCCAAGAAAAAAAGAAAACCTCTCTGGCAATACACACCAAACGGAGCATGTGCAAACTGCCTACGGTTCCGTCTTATCAGGGGAAAAAAAAATGGTCGCTTGAACAGTGGGAGGAACAGAGCAGTCAGGATCAAACAGCCTTTTTACACAATGCAGAGGATTAGCCCCTTAGGTTCCACAGTGAGTATAACCAGCACGCTTTACTGCATCTACAGACTGATTGTACTGTTGTGGGTTTAGTAACACTTTAACCCCATAAGCCAGAACTGTCTCCCCTGAGTGTCTCTCTGAAACTAGTTTCGCTTTGCTACTGGAGCTCTGCTTAGCTAAACCCTGCAAACTATTGCTCACAATGAAAGGGGAATTGCAGTGGCAGTTGATGGAGCTTAGCTCTTAAAAGTGGTTGTAAACCGCAGACATGAGATATGAACAAAGCACATCCCTCTATAGTGTGGGCTTGTCTCAATCCAGAGAGATATGAACAAAACACATCCCTCTATACTGTGTACTTGTCTCAATCCAGAGAGATATGAACAAACCACATCCCTCTGTACTGTGTACTTGTCTCAATCCAGAGCACTATGTGTCCTTTCTGTCTGCTGCCTTGTTCCTCACCTTTCTGCATGAGTCACTTCGGACACCAAAAGAAAAATGGTGATGGGGAGGGAGCTTCAGTACACAACCTGTGATTGACAGCCTCAGCTCTGTTCCTTTCCTTCCCTCCAATCAGCTCTCACCGAGCTCTGCAGAGTGTAAAATCAAATGACGGAGCTTCAACAAGGGAGGGCTGCTCCAGCACACAGCCTGTGATTGGCAACCTCAGCTCTGTTTCTTCCCTCCAATCAGCGCTCTGCAGAGTGTAACTTTTGTTGAGAGAACTTCAGCACACAGGGTTGCTCCAGCCCACAGCCTGTGATTTACAGCCTCAGCTCTCTTCCTTTCCTTCCCTCAAATCAGCTTTTACTGAGCTCTGCAGAGTGTAACTTCAGCTAAGAGAGCTTCAACACAGGGGAGGGCTGCTCCAGCACAGAGCATGTGATTGACAACTTCAGCTGTTTCTTCCCTTCCCTCCAATCAGCGCTCTGCAGAGTGTAACTTTAGCTGAGAGAGCTTCGACACGGGGTTGCTCCAGTACACAGCCTGTGATTGACAGCCTCAGCTCTGTTCCTTCCTTTCCCTCCAATCAGCTCTTACTGAGCTCTGCAGGGTGTAACTTCAGCTCCCAGCCCCCTGATTTCTGAAAGCTCAGACAAGCTGTGTAAAATCTGGGCTTTGAATGGATGTAGAGAAGAGAGTGCTTGTAAACCTCAGACATGAAATAATGAACAAAGCATATCCCTCTATAGTGTGTACTTGTCTCAGTCCAGAGCACTAAGTGTCATTTCTGTCTGCTGCCTCCTTTCCTCTGTTATCAGCATGACTCACTTCTGCCAAGTTCTTCTGACACCAAGAGATAAAATGGTGACGGGACGGAGCTCCGGCAGATCGACAGCCACAGCTCTGTTCTTGTGAGCTGTATGAAGGAGAAGGGGGGGGGGGGCTCTCCCCTCCAATCAGTTCTCAGAGCTCTCCTCACTGCAATGTAAAGCATCAGCTCTCTGCCCCCTTTTTCCTGACAACTCAGACGAGCTTTAAAAAAGTTTGGATTTTGAATGAATGCAGAAAGAAGAAGACCGCAGATAAAGAGGTACAACTTATGTACCAGTCACTTCAGTGGGTACATGTAAGGGTTTGCAACCACTTTTAAGTCAGGCCTCCAACATCAAAGTGAAACTAGTTTCCACTCCAGGAGCTCTTGAATCTGGGCCCTGTGCACCCTCGGTTCTGGACAGGGCTCAGACACGCCCACCCTGGAGTCTCGCCTCTTTGGTAGCTGAGCATTGTGGGATGTGAGTTTCGGGCGGTGTGCCTAGGTTTGGGTGGTAGAGTTGCTAGTATCATGGCAAATCTGCCTTGTACCAGTTTGAACAATTGCTCGGAATGTCCAGATCCACTACCCCTCCACGTTTACATGTAATGGAAGGCTCAGATTAAGGTGGACAATCCCTTTAAAACTCTAAAAGGCCAGAGGTGACATGGTGCCGCTACATCGAAGGATAACTGTCAGCCACCAGGCCACCCGGCAAACCTCCTTTAGTTTTGGTAGGAGAAGGCCGAGTCTAGAACACCTGTCAGGTTCGTATTGCTGTCCGAATTGGAAATGTTTGCACTCATTTCCTATCCCAGTGACACCCTATGTTTCAGGATGTGTTGGGTGTCACCAGGACAGAAAGTGAATAAAAGTATCCAACTCAGGCTTCCACCATGTGAACACAGCCAGTGCGACATGTTCTTCCTTCAGCAGCCACCATTGAATCTCTGGTAGTAGAGAGAGAGAGATCACCATCGTAGTCACATGAGAGGCCAGTGGGGGAGGAGCTTAAGGGGTGAGTCCACCCAGATGGTCTTGAAGGCCTGAGCCACTCTCTCTGGTTTCCTAAAGTCAATCTCTACTTTACCACCAGAGAGGTTACTTCTCCTCAGGGGCGGACTGACAACTCATGGGGCCCCCGGGCAATAGGGGATCATGGGGCCCCTGTGTCCTTGCTCAAAAAAAGCCTATGAAAAAGGTACCAGGGGCATCTCATGGGGCCCCTTACTGACCCCGGGCCCTCGGGCAGTGCCCGAGTTTCCAAATGGTCAGTCCACCCCTGCTTCTCCTACATCTAAATATCAGTTCTGGCCGGAGTGACCCATAACCCAGAGGAGGAGCAATTCTGGGCAAGCCTTCCTTTAATTTATTCAGAAAAAAATGTCAATAAAACATTTCAACCTGTGTGTGTCCAGTTGTCTTCTTCCCACTGGGTGGGTTCCATCCAAATCTCAATAAGGTAAGATTGTGTGTCGGCCTTTTGTTTAATCCGTCTCATTAGTGTAGGTCGATTTTTAAACAATCCTAATTTTGCATCAAAAATGTCTTCTTTGCTGGAGATCTGGGAACACCATCTAATCCAGCATCTTTATGTGTAGCAAGAATTCCCAGTCCCACCCACTGCAACATTTTTAAAGTGCTGACCTCGCAAATGGATTCATAGGCCTGGCACCCTTCCTGCCTTGCTCCTATTACATACCTATATTCCCAGCGATATCTCTTTTGAGACCCAGTGACTTCATCACCAGGTCTGTCTTTTGGCCTTGGTGCAGGGAGGTGGGAGGGGCCAGCAGACTCCTGGCGTTGGTGCGGGAGGTGCCCATATGGAAGAAAAATATATTTGAAATATATTTTTAAAATATTCTTCTCAAGCATATTGCTATATATTTGAAATGCTACAATTTTGGCTGTATTCAATATTTAAAAAAAAAAAAAAAAAGTTTATATATAAATATACATACACACACATATATATATAATAAATATATATATGTTGAAATGCGTTTTTAAACTCCCTGCCTATACCCATATGGAAGAAAAATATATTTTAAAAATATTCTTTCCAAATATATTTCCATATATTTGAAATGCTACAATTTTGGCCATATTCAATATATTTCAAAAATATATTTCAATATATATATATATATATATATATATACAGTCAGGTCCATAAATATTGGGACATTGACACAATTGTAACATTTTTGGCTCTATACACCACCACAAT